CAGGCCCCTACGTTGTGTATTGGAAGAAGCAAGCCATTGACCTTCTTGTCGTCAACCTTGTTTTGGGGGTGCGGGAATGACGCGACAGTGCCTGATGAGAATCCCGAGAACCAACAAACAGCCATGCCTGTCACAAAATCTCCAACATTTCAACCTAACAATCAAGGATTCCTGATAGAATCTACAACGTTACACCCAACTCTCAGACCTTCGACGAATGAAATCATGACAGACTTTCCCACCTTTAAACCTATTGACGAAACACCATCACCTACACCCAAACCAACATTGAGCCCTTCCCATGCGCCAACATCTGGTCCCACAGGAAAGCCAACTCTTAGCCCAACCTTCTCACCCACACTCATTCCTACCTTCTCACCAAGCTCTTCGCCCACTTCGTTGCCGCCTTCCGAAGTAATCGACACATCTCCCCCAAGTGTGTCGCCATCAGGAATTGCAACGACATCTCCGACCCCACAACCTACAACAAAATCGCCCACATGGACACCAACATTTGCTCCAACAACATCGCCAACATGGACGCCAACGGATGCACCAACATTTGAGCCTCTCCAAGAAGAGTACATTCCGGGTCTTTTGGTCAATCAACGGGAAGGACTGCTGTTGTCGTCCGGTCTGACGGCACGCATCATTGCCGTGACAGGTAGTCCCGTCATATACGACAGTCCTCTCGCTCCTCGACTTGCGAACAACAACAACAATAATGATCGACAACTCGAATCGGAGGTGGTCTTTCATGATTGGCCGGATGGGGGAGCCGTCTTTGCCGACACCAACACGAGCGGGAATCCCGGGGGATGGATCTATGTGTCCAATTCGGAACACGACGATGAGGGAGAAGGTGGTGTGGGCGCCATTACCTTTGACCAGCACGGGCTCGTTGTCAAGTATGAACGAGTATTGGAAGGGACTACAATGAATTGTGGTGGGGGACGGACACCATGGCACTCGTGGATTTCTTGCGAAGAATACGGGGATGGAGATGGCAACATTTACCAGGTGGATCCTGCAGGCATACGACCACCGGAAAAACTGACTCTGGGAATGGAAGGGGGCGATTGGGAAGCCTTTGCGTATGATGTACGAAATCGAGAGCTGCCATACTTCTTTGTCACCGAAGACACGAGCGACGGTGCCCTGCAGCGTTTCCTGCCCGAACTAGTCGATTGGGACCGCGATCCTTGGAAGATGCTCCATGGCAATGGTACGGTGGAGTACCTCGTCCTAACGCCAAGCTTTCTGGACGACTCCAGGGGAACCTTTCGGTGGACAACCAATCGAGAAGAGGCGCAGGAGAACGCCAATGATATATACCCCAACACAGAGGGAATCGATGTGCACAACGGAATCATGTACTTTGTCTGCAAGGAAATCAAAACGATGTTCCAGCTGGACCTGGACGCATTTGTTTACACCCGTCGGTCAACCGAATCGGGGGCTTTCAGTGGCGAACCCGATCAACTGCGAAGGATAATCACAACGGGAGAAGAGGGAGAGCAAGACACGAATAATAATCACTTTCTCTTTTTCACTGAAGATGGAGGTGATGCAGCAGGGATCCACGGCCGTGACGAGACGGGATTGTTCTTCACAGTGCTGGAGAGCACCGAATACAGCGATGAAACAACTGGATTGGCCTTTACTCCAGACTACACCCATCTCTATATTGCCTACCAGAACGATGGTATCCTGTTTGATATCACACGCATTGATGGGCAACCGTTTCATGCCAAGTCTTTGAACATCAAGTACCATGCTACCGATACAACATGACACACCTAACCATACGAGAATTACAGCTACATCTTGGCTGGGCACGTACGGTACCGAAGCTTATCACGGCAAAAACATCATGCGAAGGCCACATGTACCGGTACCATACTGAGTTGCCCTTCATGGCTGCTGGCTATCATCTAGCTTCTAAAAATCGAAGTCGTGCACAGCGTCCGCGGGGCTGTATCGAGAAGGAACAATGGGGTGACCTGCAACTACCTTCTTTATATCTTTATCGGCTGCGGGGTTCATTTCGGGGTGCATAGTGGATAGTGTCTTCTCAATGACCAAGGGAATTGACCCTGGCAAACTTCTTGCATCAATCGATGACAACTCCTTTATCGGTCAATTTCGTAGCCACTAAATGTAGCTAGCTATTTCAAGGACAGGCAGGTCCACCAACCGAATTAAGTTAGCTACCGGCAGCCAGCCATCCACAGCAAGCTCTAGCTAGCTGTACCGTACGGTACCTGGTACTGCAGTAGCAGTCACATAACGTGTACCGTGCACCGGTACCGTTGCAAAACAGCAAGACTGCCAACTCAGTTCGTGGTTCTTGGGGGTTCCTCGATTGTTTTCCGATTTTTAATTAAATTTTTGGAGCCAAGCAAGAGGAGCACAACTGCATGTAACTTGTGACTTGCTTGTGACCGCTGATATCCCCCCGTCTTGTGAAAACTACATTTTGCATCATAGTCTTGAGCTTAGCCACCGACGTTCCAGTAACTACAGTGGTGCCGCTTCTATTGGTATAGTTCCTCCTGACGAGAGCCACAACTCCCAAAAGCAGCATCCTATAGCTGTCAACTTGCAATCTTGAGAGAGTTCATCAAATAAACAAATGGTACAAGTAACAACCCGTCGTCAAAGAGCGAATCCTCTTCGGCACATGTGCCTGCGGGATGGCCTGGCCTCTCTGGGAACATGTACATTGATGGTGGTGTTGTATGCCTCCGACGCTACGGGACCCTGGTTGAGGCAATTGAGGACTGCGGGCAACGATAACAGTGGCACCGTATCCCCCCTTCTTAATCGCACTAACGACAGTGACATTTCCGTGACAAAGGCTTCCAAAGTGCCACCCATTGAGTTGTCGTACAAGAAACCTTCCTGTATACCCCCACGATCTCCTCATGCACTACAAGAATTTGTGGTACTTGGCGTCAACCTGGCTCAGTACGGTTATGAGAGTGGCCATGAGGCTGGACAAGTTGTTACTGTTTCCATGGACCAGCCTTACCTGCTTTACGAAGACTTTGACATTGCAGATCAATTGAGTGAGAAGGGCAACGAGGGCTGGTTCCAATTAGTTGATTATCACAAAAAACTTGCGTCACCCGTCCTTGACTTTCTACACCGACAAAGTGGCTTCCAAACGATGGATGCAGAGCATGCACATACCTAAACCAGAGGCCATGTTTCTTCTCTACAAACATGAATTGGATGCCATTATTGCCAAGACAAGCAAGGCAGCCCCTGGAATATCCCTAGAGCGCCAAGAATACAGAGCTATTCTCCGGCTGCTGCCACGAAAGAAGTCATTTGTGGCTAAACCAACCAATAGGGCCTGCTCAAGTGGGGTTTGGGTCGTCAAGTACGATTCCAAGGAGGACAAGACACTCATGGGCTATGGTGGCTCATACCTCGAAACACCCTACGATGACAAGGCCATAGCCAAAAGGCTCTCCGGAGACCTGAACCGAGTCGATGACAACTGTGGTGATTGGGCCATGGACCAGGTGAAAGCTGGTTTTGTCATCGAAGAGAGATTCAGCGCATTTGACTCCGATGACAAGCCAGCAGTGGAATTCAAAGTGTTTACTATATGGGGACGAGTCTGGTTGGCAAACTGGAGACGAGGGAACCGGTGAGTCCTTTGCTAGGAAATGGAGTTGTTGTTGTCACGCTTTGCGCCACTCATGCTATGGCTCCAATGCAACAGTCGACCTGGTCTTGTCCATCGTAATGGAACAGTTGTGGAATGGACTGGAAAAGACACAGACAGCCTGCCCGATTGGGTCAATTGGGATCGAGTAGTAGAAGTTGCAGAACGACTTGCCAGGCACAAGGACATGTACCGAGTTGACGTGTTTGTAGGACTTCCATCTGATCATCCGGCACTCAAGTCTACTTCTCGAGCAGCGCAAATGGCCGCCGTCCAAATACGAGTGTCAGAGACCGAGTTTGTTCCTTCAACACATCTCAAGGATCCTGCACTATTCGAAGAAGCATCACGGTTGTGGAAAGCTGGATACAAAATGGGCATACACAAACTTATCCCCAATGACGAAGTACCGAAGGCTTTTCTCGAAAAGGGATTTTTGTCAGAAGAGGATGCAGAGGCCTTGGCTGTGGATGACCATTTTGCGCCCATTCGAGTCAAGAACTAGCCCCCCGATGCTTTGAGGAGACCTTTTTGACGCTTGTACGTTCAACAATGGAAACACGCAACAAGGCAAATGCACATTTCACCAACAGGTTACTTCTACCTTTGTTAGAGATGATATTGAAGGCAGGGTGCGTTCGCTTGCCCAGCTAGCTAGCTAGATACATGAGTTTCAATATACAAGATCACTTAAACTATTAGAGGCATACAGTTTGGCATTCGATAGCGAAGCTGACAGAGGAGAGAGATGTAGCTGTCTTCGGTGGGAAGCCTTCGCGGCAGTCTCACTTCCGCCACTGTGGTCAGACCTTCTTTTCATTTTTCCTTAGGCTGCCGCTGCTGGCATATCTTTGACGGCCAAAAGCATGTGAGCGTTCAGCATCATCTCACAAAGCTGCTCAGATGCCCAGATAGTGCTGTCGAATGAAACCGAGGTGGACATCATTAGCTCATGCATTTGAATTACCAAGCTTGTTGCAGCCTCATGTGATCCCCTGACTTGGTACATGTACTGAATCTGAGCTTGGTTGCTGAGGCTTCCCATTGTCACCAGCAACCCGACAGCAGCATGCTGTTCAACTTGGGAGAGAATTCCAGGGGCCAACTTTGATGCACACATATCGTAAAGATAGCATGCTTTCTCAATGTTCCCAGCATTGTGATGCCTAACACCAGAATGGTGAAGAGAGAGAGCCATGTTGAAGAGAATCGCCGTTGCTGCCACATGGTGGGAAGATCGAATGTCATCAGTGCTGGCTGTCAAATCAAAGAGCATGGCTTGATTCAGGATGAACAAAAACGATTCATCGTCTTGAAGACCAGGGATCGGGGCAGACAATGCTATGGGAATCACCTTTGCCTCAGTCCGAGGCTGCTGTACTCCAGCAGTCAGTACGCCAGCATCAGCCAAAGCAAGTTGGGTCTTTGTCATATGCAAAGCCATTCTGAAGCAACTGAAGGCTGCTTGGCTGTCCTGCGCCAAGAGGCAGCGGATTCCCTCTCGATTCAAACGAGTGATTTCATGTGATGTACTCATGGCAGCAAAAGCAAAACATAAATATTAGCGGTCGTGGGCTTGTAGCAGCAGTCGAAGCAAAATTGTGAGAGCTGTGTTTTGGCTGGGCTAGCTATCAGGTAGCTAGTTTGGGGGTCGCTACTGCCGGTAGGACCATGACTGACCATGACACCCTCGAGTGCTGACGACCGAGAAAAGATAGATGATACGATAGGTCTACTACTGGCTACCGGTAGCCAGCTATTAGCGATCCAGTTTCCAAGTTTCCTGACGTTGCTCCGCACGCACAAGTGACAAGTCTCTTCATTGAACTTGGAGTCGACAATAATTAATTTATTTATTGACACACTTCTAACTCGGAGCTCTTAGTACCAGGTAATACTTGTGTCAGGGTATTTAAACATAAGGCACGCAACAACCTACAACTATGACATAAAGCTTTTGTGGGATGTGTTCGGTTAAAGGCAGGGAAATAAGTCGTGGGTGTTGTCCGATCCATTGCAAACCTTCATTTTTAAATTTATTTCAGCCCATTCCTTCGAAACAATGCTAAGGATGAAGGCTTTTCCAGGTCACAGCGCCCAATAGGATGATAGATACAATCGTCAGCAGTTATAAGTACCAGGTACTGAGGTTCCTTCGCAGGCACTGGCTAGCCAACGGTGCATGAGTACTAGTATCGCATAAGCTGGCACTTGCTGCCCCTTCCAAGAAACATCACTTGCAATTTTAGGAGACTGTTTGGATGCCACTTTTTCAGCCTCCATGCCAACATTCGAGCTTGCGTGGCTGCTGGCTCGTGGCTCGCCCCTCAAACCTCGGGGGTGCTGTCCTTAAGAACCAAAGGAAACTCCATGTCTCTAGTAGTTACAATGAGACTGGCTCTTTCAACATCAATTGTCCAGCTCGATGTAGTCATTGACTTTGCTTCATTGGTTTTGCCCTAGCTTGTACGTTCGTCACGGCGAACTCTTCTATTGCCACATCCTCTAATGCGGCCAGTGTGTAGACACGACTGTTGGAAATACCTGGGCCTCGGCTTATGGGCGGGTTGTCTTCAAGGCAGCACTTCTCGTCTGGACCTCTCCAAGCTCCAAGGGGGGTTTAGAGCAGGGAAGTTTTCTACGAAGAAAGCGTGTATTGAAGTGTCAGGTCGTGCATTGACAAACATTCATCTCACCACAGGATCTCGCCGGCCAGTTTGGCTTCAACCTCTTTGTCTCATGTGCTAAGTCTTGATCTGAGCTTGGCTGGCTGGCTGGCTGTTGAGACTGCCTAGCTACATGTACTGTAGTGTCAGCCAGAAGCGTTCCAATTGCGCGACCTTTGAGTTGGTCTGGGAATGCGGGAGATAATATCTGAGGCACTTGCTTGGTTGTACTGGTACAGATGCATGCACTGCGAAGCTTGACATCCTGCTGAAACTCGATGCCGTGGTGGTGAAACATCCTCAAAGCCATATTGCACGGAGTGACTGCGGCAGCCAACCAGGTCTGCAAAGCTTGGTCTCGATGGCCTGGCGTTTTGCATGGTAGACCTTCCAAGGACAGCGCTTGGCAGAGGTTTCGCTGTCCTCAAAAGAAGAGGGATGTGAGATTCTGTTTTTGATTGACGGATTGGAGCATGGACATCACACTTCACACTTCGCGCCGTATGTGCGCAACCTTTGCATGAAAGATGTACTAGTACCAGCACCGGAAGGCTCCCTGTCCATCAAGTCGTCAATCACTTGTGCCTGCCTATCTTCTCCGAGTGTTGATTTGCGGGCCAGCGAAAGCCTCAAAAGAGTGAAGATTAGTCATTGCTACGTGGAAATCCTAGCTTTTGTTTTAAAACACGAAGGACAACATGAGCTATCTAGCTAGAGCTTGCAAGCTCAGGACCAAGTCGGCGCTTTCGTGTCGGCTGCTCTAATGGGCCGTAGAATCCATTTGCATTTCATCCTCAGATTCCTCTGCAGCACTAGTACCCCCGACTGGCGGTGCCTGCATACTATTAGTATTGGAAATGCCTGCAAATCCTTCACGGTCTGCTGTGTTAGAAAGGATTGTCTTTCCAATTCTAGGTTTTCGTCTCGGTTTTTGCGGTTGTGGTTTGGGCATGGCGATCCCTGCCGACCAATCTGAAGCCGTGGACCAATTGGGCAAGAGCGAGGAGAATTCCTGCGGAATATCATTGCTTTCTTCCTCCTCCGCTTCGTCCTTGGGTTTAATTTTGTCCCATAATTCTTTCCATGATTGTGGGATTTGCCATGGGAATTGTCGACTGGTGGCTGTGTCCTGCTGTTCACAAACCGCTTCCCATCCCTGGCAAAGGAGTGCTTGTTTCCAACTTAGGTCAGCCGGGGGCACACACGTGTTGGAGGAGGATGAATTATTAGTACTGGCATCACTCTCCTCCATGATGAAGGTGGCCAAATCAGCACAAGTTTGTTCCTGTAGATGTTCGTAATGATGTTGCGTGTTTTGCTTTATTTTCAGAGTCCATTTCTGCAAATAATCTCGAATGGTTTGTATAGCCTTGACCGTCTGAAAGAGCAGTTGTTTGAGGGCTGGTGTGTCACTATTATTTCCTTGTTTTGTCATCGTTGCGTCATCTTGCTGCTGCTGTTGCTCTTCCAAGCTGTATTCTAGTCGCAAGTGATCAAATGTCAATTGGGAAGACAGGTTGCATTCCTCGGGGGAATTGGAATTCGGACGATAGCGACAACTACGTCCCAAATGATAGTCGCCCCACGACGGAAGAAAGGCACACTGACAAAAAGGTTCACAACGAGCCACTCTCCAATCCCAGACACATGAGGCATCCGTAGGAGGAATCATTTGCGTCGTCAAGTACTCTTTGGAAACTTCCCCAAACACATCCAACCAAGAACGGTCGTCTTCTTCCAACTCCACAGTACTAGTCTCGTGCGCGTGCTCATCATCATCACTCTCAACATGGCCAATACTGCCGTTCTCGTGGGGGTGGCTGATCACGTCTTCCGCCACGGCGGCTGCTGCTGCTCCATGTGCACGCTCTAGCAGGAACAACGCACAGAAGCCAACGGGTACTAGTAACAATCCCCTACTTGATCTCATGGTCCTTCGTTTCTTCTTTCGTTTGATGGGCATCTGAGAAAGCACAGGACGCATAAGGTTGGTCGTTGGATTGACCGTCAGCCTGAAGTTATGTCAACGCAGCTCCAATGGCTATGTTTGACAGCCCAGACTAGAGTTTGGGATAGAATCTTTCCTCAAGTCCGTGCTGATGCTCAAAACTGACTCATCATGGTGTACATGTACAAGAAGTTGGATCCAGCTTAATTGATGAAGTTGGCTGCAATGCGGCTGAAGGTTTGCCCACCATAACAAGCCGAGAGAGGGAGTGCTATACTGTATAGCTAGCATCAAGGATGCACTTGAGCTCCATTTTGTGACCAGCCAAGTGGGCAGAAGACTAGACAATCTCATCTATGTCATGTTGCATCCATTTCAAAACATAGTAGCTAGGGGTTCTTAGTAATGTAGCGCATTATAATACGTTGTGTGCATCGTGTCAAAATGTGATTCATGTACGGTATGTAGTAGCGTCAGGAGCGACAGATGATGATTGCCACAGTGCTGCTAGCCTTGATTTGATTCTTGATTTCCCATGGCATGTGCTTCCTGCTCGCCCCCCATGCCGACTGCAATGCTCACGGCCCGTCTATCAGGCTGACTCGACTCCCACCCAGTCGATTGAGTGGTATCTTAGCTATTGTTGGACAGGGAACCGCTAGTTAGGCCGCTGGAGAAGCCAAAAACCTGTATGCCAAGAACGTGGCAATATTGAGCAGCATCCCAACAAACTGGGGAGCCCATATTCTTGTATTACATTGAGAAGCAACGGCAAAAAGGGGCACCAGTCTTTGTTGGAGTTCAAGTGCCAGTTGTGCAGCTATCTCTTTGTTTCCCAGTAATTGGCTCTGAATCTGTGCATGATTATTTAGACTTGCCATGGTCACCAGATAGGAGGCTGCAGGATCACTGAAGCTGGCTGGGATAGTAGGGACGATGGCCGATGCACAAAGGGAGTACAGATGGCATGCCCTCTGCAGCTTTTTGGTTTGCTGGTGCTGCATTCCATTGTAGTGAAGTGCAACCGCTAAATTGAAGACTATCATGGTCGTAGCCACATACTGTGCATCTGCACTGCTGTCTCCGCTGATTGTCATATCAATGGACAGACACTGATCAAAAATGAAGACGGATGGTTCATTGGCATTGAGAAAAGGGAAAGAATCTGACAAGGTAATGGGGAGCATTGACTGTGTTGGATCGTTGGTTGGAGGAGGCGTGGTGGTAGGAGCCGGAGCTGGATTTTGGTTCTGCACCACGAACAAGGCTGCTTCGAAGCAAGTCACAGCCGCTTGGCTGTCATTGGCCAAGAGGTGACCGATGCCTTCCTGGTTCAGACGAGTGAGCGTTTGGGCGATGCCTTCCCGATTTGTGTTGATGCAGCCAGATGCACCCATCATACTAGCTAGTAGTTGATGAGGTTGAGAATTGTATACATAAGAAGATACCGCTGATGTGGATAGAGAGAGAGTATGTGGCAGTGCTGCTTCTGAAGTCTGAACAGAAAAGATGTTATTTGACGACAGACACAAGCACATCTATCTGCCTAAACCTGAGCTAGCTAGCTAGCTAGCTACTAGGCTACGATACTTTGCTTGCTTGAGTTGAGAAACACTGGCTGGACTATCATACTCCTCCTGACGTGGTGGATTGCAGTTGTGGTTGTTGCAGAGTTCAGAGCCACATGGACGCAACAGCTTGCAACAATCCGAATAGTTGAAGTAAATAATTAACGTTGCGTTCGCCTTCTGTTTATTCCAGCTCAAGTGATACCCTTAACCCTCGAGAAGTACCAGCGGTACACGGTACCAATTCGAAATCAACGAAGGTTTTAATTGACAGCTTGAAGTCTTTCAGCTTTTGTGTCACAGAGTCGGTTAAGTCTTGGATGTGCCATAAGTAAAATATTACACAAAAATGGAAAAGGTGTCAACTGCTGTCCTACTGCAGCTGAGGTGGTTTACAAGGACTGAGTCAGTGATCATTTCTTCGGTGCTTGCTGCATAATAACGGTACCGGTACCGGTACCGGTACCACCAACAAGCCAGTGTGGGTTGTCAAGAGCTCTTCCTGTAGTCATCTTAACCAAGATCTCTCACGACTTTCTTCAAAACTTTGGAGGTGTCCTGCACCGGTACTGGGCCAGCCTCCGAACAACACCTGCAGTTCTTTGGCACTACCGTAGTCTAATTGTACCGGTTGCCTTCAAGCGATTTTCATCTTTCATTGGGAGAGTCAGCGAGTGAGTCTAGTCTCTCCTAGCTAGAAGCACCCTAGTTAGTCAAATTGGGCAGAAAACCGAAAGGTTGAATTTCGTGAAGTCGCCTTTCTTACCCCACTTCACCATGAAGGTGTATCCGATGCTGCGGGGTCTGCTCCAGCTAATCAACGGAGTCTATTTATTTTAAAATGCGCACTGACAAAACCCATGCAATACTGATTGCTACCCGCTACCTACTGTAACATGTACCACAACCTTCAAAGGAAACCAGCTGGCTAGCTAGAAAACGAGCCACCTCAATTACCAAAGAAACCTTGCAAGAAAGTAAATACCAAACCAAGCAAACACGCCCAACTGCGGCGGTGCACCCCAGAACTCACGTCCCCTTTAATACTGCAGCAACAAAGCCATGAGAAGGGGATCAACACCATGTACCAGTCTTGCAATCATCATCATCTTCGTAATTGTAGCTCTTAGTCTGTCCTCTGATTCGACCCATCATTTCATTCCAGGCATCACCGTCAAGGAACATCAAATCACCAAGAGTGAATTGTGATTTTGTTTTGTGAGAGCGCTTTGGCATGTCTGTTTCGTCCACAAAGGAAACACAGTCGCTATGCTGAGATCTCTCGTCGTTCTCGTCTTCTTCGAAACTAGGAAACACGGCAGTTTTGTCATCATTTTCCTCGTCAAACAGAATCTCTTCTTCGCCGCTTTCTTCATCCTCTTGGCCTCGCTTCTTGAATCTCTTTCTCCTCCTCTTCATGGCAGATTGAATGGAATGTTTCTGTTCGAGTTTGTTGTTGTTGTTGGAGTCTAGTGGAGCCGACGAGTGCATCCAACGGTAAAATATTACACAGACGATGAGGCAACATGAAACAAGTGCCATGAGAGTTCCCAGGATCCATTTGGTTCGTTGCGTGTGTGTGTTCATGCCAGTGCAGGATAGTTTGACATTTCCAAAGGTTCCTTCCAGCACTTGTTGTTTTCGTGTGACATTGGAATTCAAATAATCGCCCCAACAGAGCGATTGACTGTAGGATTTGGCATTGTGAAAGATCCCCGTAAACTCCGTGACATGGTGGATATCCCAAGAGGTCAATCCCTGATTGAACGAATGGGCGTTCTGAGAGATAGATCGATCGACAAGAGTGGTCAATAGTATGAATCACAGCAGATAGAGAGCAGTCGTCAGTGTTTTTGTCTTTTGGTGGCACATGCATTCCTTTTGTTATAGTCATGCAGGAACTTACCCGAAACATGCTTTTGAGACTGGTCGCCGCTCCCACATCCCAGTTCCCAATGGGCTGATTAAAGCTGACGGTTCCTTCAAACATGGATTGGAAAGAGCGCACACTCGATACATTCCACGCCCCAATCCCATTGGCTTCTACACTGCTGGCATCCTGAAAGGTACTCTCCATGGTTTGGACACTGGAAACATTCCACGTGTCGAGCCCGAGTCCTTGAAATTCCGAGGCATAGCGAAACATGGAGGACATGTCCGTGACCCGGTCCGTTTGAAAAGAGGACAAATCCTGGTCAAATGCTTGTGCGCCTTGGAACCTGATAATGAAAATGAAAAAGAAGATACAAATGGCGTGAGCATTGGGGCTGTCTCAGCAGCAGCAGTATCAATAGTAATAGAATGGAGTGTCATATACTTGCATTTGACTCATATCCGTGACTTTGGAGGTATCCCAATTCTGAAGTGGCTGATTGAACTGTGACGCTCCCAAGAACATTCCTTTGAATGTCGTACAGGAAGTGAGTTGCCAACGACTGATATCGACATTGAATAGTTCGGCGCCTGGACTCATGAGCATCCAATCACTCATGCCATCATAGGTTGGCTTCCAAAAGAAATGGCTGCAATTGGTCAAGCCCGAAACATCCCAGTCAGAGACATGATCACAAGCGTGTGGATTGGAAGCAGACAAACGGTCCAAGCAGTTCCGGAAGAGCGGACGAAAGTTGTTGTCGTTGATGCGGGTCGTCTGCGGGGTATACTCATGCGGCTTGTTGTCCTTGTCCTTATTAGTGACATGAGGATGATCATGAGTGATTTGCTTGGTAATAGTGACAGGACGATCGTGGCTGATTCCCTTGGTCATGGTGTATGTGACAGTTTTTGGCGAACGTTAAAAGATATCTCGCACAAATTAGGTTTTGGTATACACAAGCTCGAGCCCAAGCAAGCCAATGATTCAATCTCCAAGTTGTCAGTTGGTTGATAACGGAGGATGCTTCTTTTTTCTGAGCGAGATGGGATTGACAGAAAGAATAAGATAACCCAAACGAATACCGATAGACTTGGAAGTGGCCTTGATAATGGTGATAATGGTGGTAATAAGGAATTGGTTTCTTTCTTCTTGGAGGGAGGAGTGCTTGTGTCTTGCTTTGGGATTTGGCGGCAGCGTCAGAATCAATCGGAGCGTCAACAACGGGACGATGACTGCATGTGCAAATAAATGAGAGGCTCGACTCGACTCCGACTTGTAACAAGTCGTTGGTACCGGTGAACAGTTGAAGAAGTCAGGTTTTGGAGTGAAGATTTCGGGTTTTCATGTGAAAAGCAAATCAGGCAATTCTGACCGTTACCCTCAACTCTAACTTTGCATACTACACTCCGACTTGCACATTGGCATTGGCCCAATGATGTCCGCAGCGACCATATCACGTGCACAGACCGTCTCATCATCAGAAGCTTGGAAGCAAAACTGTCCAAGAATAGGGCGCAGAAGACCGAGCTACTGCTCTAACTATCCTAGCTAGGCTCTGGCTTGCACATTCGCATTGGCCTTAATGATGATCCATCCAGGCTAGGCTGGTTTGCTTGGAAGGCAGGTGGCCAAGCTTGGGTAGGGCAAGAAAACGGAACTAGCTACTCTAGGGATCAACGGGAACGAAATAGAGACCAGTCTTGTGGCGTACCCTTAGTCGGGATACATTCGATGGAGCTCAGCAACTGGGCCACTAGCCTGACTGGAGGCAGTAGAGCAATTGAGCCAAACCTTTATAAAAGCATAGTATCCCCTGGCTGTTTCAGGCACTAGCTGGCTCACGGCAGTGCTAAACGCATGACTAGTACCAATGTAACTCAGCCAACCTTAGCTCTGACAAAGGAAGCAACTTACTCTACAACTACCGTACTGCAGATAGCGGTGAACAAAGATCTATGATGTTGGTTCAAACGCAGTGACTGCAGTAGCACCTAATGTCCTGCAGCAAGTGATGTATGTGATGACTAAAGCAGATAGATGTCGTAAACTGAAAAAGTATGAATCTCTATAGTGGTATCGGTTATTGTAATACAGGCTAGCAGATGCAAGACGCGGTCAAGTTAGGCAGCCGCTGCGGACGGCAAGAGTGCCGATCCCGCCAGAGTGAAGCGGTTGAGCATAATCGCCTCCAAATGAGCTGGCTCCAAAAAGGGTGATTCAATGGACAGAATAGCCTCAGTGGGCTTCAAAGTCTTCAAAATATCAACTGCTCCTTGTGGATCAACCAGGTATCGGAAATGAATTTGAGCCTTGTTGTTCAAAGCCGCGAATGCAACCAGAGAGGCCAAGTCGTCGGCGGCTGAAAAGGTCTCAGATTCTTCAAGTTGCTGATTCACCAGGTTGCTGCAGAGTCCATACAGGCGGCTGGCAGATCGGAGATTGGGTTCGGCGCTGTACTGCATGCCATACTTGTGACAAGAGAGAGCAAGGTTGAACAGAATGACTGTGCTGGCAATGTGGAGAGTACTGGAAGATGGGCCAAAAACAGAAAAATCGACAACCAGGGCTTGACTGTGGACGTAAAATAAGTCGTCTTCCATACCAGCAATAGGCAGTGCAAGTGTTGGGATCGTTCGAGGGTGGGAACTCTTCTCGTCATCGCCTTCATAGATGTCATTGGCCAAGCTCGAGTTGATAGCAGCCAACGCCTGTTTGAAAAGGCGGTGGGCGCTTTGGCTGTCGTTGGCGCCGAGACAGCGCACCCCTTCGTGGTTGAGGCGGGTGGCTTCATGGATTGTGGCGTAAAGGTTCGACGACATGTTGATAAGATTTTGTGTTAGATGAAGTGTTGCTTCTTGGAATAGATGATGAAGATATTGTGAGAAGGGTAGCAGAAGGCGACGGCGAAAAACAAATCCTTGCTGGTTCTCATGCGGAACAGAATATGGCCTTGGAGAGAAGAATGATGCTTCGCTTCGCTGTGTCATCTTATGATTAAAAACTTGTCTCTTCGGGCAGCTCTTCGTGCCACGTTCCGCGTTCTGTAGAAGGCTTCGGAAAACTCCAATGAGGTCGAGCAAATTCGCGTTTATTAATACTGATTAATGGACTATCCAGGAGTACCGTATGTAGTGAACGTTCTTTAGCTGTTCTTTGCTCTACAGGTAGCGGTGGTCCGGTGGACAGTCACAATTCATTGTTTCGT